ACTTGCTGCCAACCATTTCCCACATTCTTGCTTCATATATTGAAAAGACTACCACCAACTGGAAATTATTTCCCTCAGACCCAAAGGCTCTGAATTATGTTACTTTTAACAGTGCTCCCACCACCAGAGGATCTGGCCTTGGGGAGAACTGGAAAAAAGAATATTCTGAGATATAAAAGTTTTATTTTGCCTACAATGCTGTGATCTAGCTCAACAAGTACAGAACTGCTTTCATCTTAACCTCTGTAGTTTTTCTTGCTTTGCCCTTTTGTTTAAAAATGGTTAGTGTCACAGCTTCACTATCACTAATAAAAAGAAACAAATATTTATGCCTTAAAGGTCAGGGTCAAAACAAAAATGAAGCCTGAGATAAAGATAATCTAAGAAATGACCAATTTGGGTTCTGCATTTTGCCAAGAAATAGGACTTTAATGAAAGTGACAGATATTTTCTTAGGGACTTATTCAGAAAAGGGAAAATCTCTTTGGAAGAAGAGACTTTAGTAGGACTTCTTTTCCTACAGACAAATTTTTAGAACTAGCTCTAAGCTGCAGCAATGTAAAGGGTAGAACTTAATATAGAACCAGAAATATGCCAAGTTCTCTAGTGACTAACATTGTAAATAGCCCAAAGCTTTAAAGCCAGAGGGAGAAAGAACAGTAGTGTGAAACAGAAAATGTTATTTATATAATTCTAAAACTTTACTTTTGTTCTTATAAATCAATATATTATGGATTTCATTATTCCATAAATTATCATCTTTTTATTAGAAATAGAAAGCAAATCCCTATCCCCAACTCAGAAAAGCAAACTGGAAAATTTGGAGAAATTAAGAACTTTTTCTTCTTTTTCCCCCTTGGAGGATAGAACATCATTTTTCAGGAATATTTTTGCAAGAAAAATCTAAAAGTCCTTTGTGTATAGCTAATGAATCCTTCTCACTCCCATTATCGGTGGCATTATTCTTACAAGGAGTCCTTCCATCTCAACTACTGGTGAAATTTTGAGTCTATAACGACCTCACGACAGCAAAGCAATTGATATTGAAATTAACTGAGGCTAATATACTATAGTCAGATCCTCTGTGAATCAGAGATGGCCGAAAGTACTTTGGAAAGTCCATTTCTGTTGGGCACAGGTAAGAAAATCAGGTCTGCACTATCTTCGGGCTCCACTTAAATACAGGAGAACTTAATTTGGTAGTGGTACTTCCCACGGTATCTTAAGCAGCTATCTTATACCAAAGGGAAAAGAATTAAGGGCAGGGGGTGGGGAACCACCATCTAATATTTTTTAAAAAGTTAACCCTAAGTTAGTACCTTCCAGAGACCACTGAGTGTATAATAATTTAATTAAGGGATATATAACAGAGCTTTATTTGATGTTAATGAATTTGTTATGATTCTTAATTGTCATTGTACCTAAAAATGGTATACTGACTGAACCGCCAAATTAGGACTCTGGCAGAATAAAAATAATTACTCCAATGGTCTGTCCATGAAAGGAAAATGTCCGCAAGCAAATTAAGATCGTTCTAGTGAAGCAAGAGAAGCAGTCAATATTTTAAAAATATATGCAGATAAGTGATCCTTACTGTCGAGGTTTTTCTGAGTGTACATGTATGTATATATAAATCCATACACACACATTACATAGTTTATTTCCTACTAAGAAGATTTAAGGCAGTTACTCTATAAAGTTAGCTGTAATATCCAGGGTAAAACAGTTACCACTCAAGAAATTATGTGAACACGTTACACAAGTTCTCATAAAGGCCATCTAAATCTAGTATAGTTCCCGTTTCCTGGCTGAGGCTACAAACACAGGAATTCCACACCCAGACCATATCCCACAGTCCCCATACATAAAACAAAGTAGTCTGAACAGTCAAAATACTCATGGAAAGCTTGAAAAGTTGTGAGAGGAACTCATAATAGTATTCTGCCTGCCTTTAGAGACCACACACTATAGTCACTACTCTTGATTGTGCTAAATCCAACAATCCATTATGCTCCAAGGTGGGAAACAGGGCTAATATTGTAGGAAAATCATTGCCTGCAACTGCCAGGAAAGTTCATAATCCTAAACATAAGTTAAAATAGAACCTGATGACATGCTATTTGCTAGTCACAAAGACATTAAACTGAAGATAATTTCTCCCATCAAGTGATGGACCAATTTGAACAACATCAACCTTAATAAAGGAATTAGAACCCTGGGTATGAATAGTACCATCCTTTTTGGTCTTTTGTAAAAGTCAAAGGAGAGAAACATTCTGATGTACACTGATATAACACAACTGGCAAGGAAGAGGGCAATCAGCAAAACCATTAGGGACATATGTCAAGAGAAGGGGAGAAAGAATAAAAGTCAGCTGGTAAAGGATTTAGCAAAGTAAAAGCTCATAGCAGAATGAAAATGGGCAATAATTTGTTATGTCTAGACACCAATGCCTTAGATCAGAGTAAAATTTAAAAAAAGATCGTGTGTTTCTATGTCCACAGACCACTCAGTTATCTAAAGAGATACGGGGTGTGGTGTGGGGGTGGTAATAGAGTGGGGCAAACTGTGAAACTGGAATGTTTGGTTATGAAAGCAACTGCACATGAGACAAGTTTTAAGTAAAGATTGTCTTGTTTACTTTATAACCCACCATCAACCAGGAGGGTCCGTATTATTGAATGAATGTCCAAAGTAATTATTTTTTTAAAAGACAGAAATATCCTAAAAGCATATTTGGACAGTTTTTGGAAGAGGTAGAGAAACCAACTGGGTATATATTCTTTTGTTTGATTTCAATTAGCAAGATACTAGACTGATTGTATTTCATCTTCAAAGTTTTAGTCTTGATGAAACTGACAATAAAAGTACAAATAAAAGTGAAATTACAGTAATATTAACAACAAAGGAGAAAATCTGACAATGTTTAAAAGACTAATAAATCAAGCAAAATTGGATATGTTTTAAGATTAAAAAAAAAACAAACCCAGGCATTCACAACTTGCAAATATAAAGTTAGAACACAACGTAAGTGTAAGAATACAGAATGAGATTATTTAGCAGATTTTCTTCTTGCAAAGTGACAGGTCCTAAGAGAGAAAGTAACTCCCACAAGACTAAGCTAAGCACAGCTTGACGGTCAGGACCAAATCCCGGTTATCTTTTTATTACTCAATGCCTATCACAGTGTCTAGGAGGTAAAGAATAGGCATCATTAAATGTTTACTGAATAAATATATACCATAATGTATAACTAGCATAATTAGTTCAAACCTAATCAGGAAAGTTCTTTAAAGTGGGATGAGAAAAGAATACAGAATTATTCCAAAGAGTGGGCTGATATCCAGTTTTCTCTCATTTTAAACAGCATAAACTTTTCAAACTTTTTTTTAAGCAATATAACTTTTTAACAAATCTCTGCAGAACTCCAATATAGAACTGAAGTGAAACTGCCACTGGTTAGACCAGATCAGTGGGAACATCACCAGCCTCCAATTTCCAAGGCCAGCCCAGCCCTAAGGTGTCTCTATGGACTCGAATCCACTGTGAAAATGACCATTCATCTAAATGTGACAGACAGCATGGTCCTTCCATTCTCACTTCGTTGAGTTTAAGAAATTACCAGCACTGTGAAGAAGTTCTAAATAATGTTGCTAATTTAAAGAAAGACAAAATCCAACAAGGAAGAGATTTCACCATGAAGAATGAAAACAGTCCCCTATAAAGGGGGGAAAAGAAAGAATCCATGTTAAGAGGCCACTGTAGACAATACAGAATGCAAAAACAGCATTCCATTAAATATGGGAAAAAGCTGATGGTTGGGATTACTACTTGGGCACTGCAGATGCTCTTTGGTTAGAATATTTTAAGAAATGTGAATTGTGAACAGCCCAGGAAACTGCTGTATATTTGGGGGCTATCTGAATATGAAGAAGAGAAGCAGATAAACAAATGCTTTTTGGGTTCAATATCTTCAAAAAAACTTTAGGGAGGTAAACATCTGTATCACTAATGTACATGGGATAATTCTGCCTTTCTGTTAACTATAGTTGTCCTCCCTCATCTGCTGATTCGCTTTGTGTTTTCAGTTACTCCTGATCAACCATGGTCTGGAAAATTCCAGAAATAAATAATTTATAAGTAAAAAACAAACATGACCATGACCATTAAATATATTCACAAAAATGTAGTCACCACCATGAAGCCAACCCCTCGACAGGTATAACTGCTCAGTACAACAGGTGCCTCCTAAGTGTTGAGTCCCAGCTTCGGGTGGCACAGAACTCCATTGCAACTGGAGCTGAGCTCCATATTGACATGCTGTGATTGGCACTGCTTCACTTAACATACCAATGCAAGAGTGACTGCCAAGACCCTCCTCCACCAGTTTCAAAGTTGTTCTCTGCCCCCAGAACTGCTCCCAAGTTCTCAATAAACACCTGCAAAGGGCAGACACTCCCCTGTTATCTCCAGCAGATCTGCGGTGGTAATAACTGGGAATTTACATAAATCACAAGATGCCCTGTAGAAGTAGTAATTAGTGAGCAGCAAGAAGTCTGGAAGCAAGCAGCCAGACACTACAATGGTGAAAACTTGCCCAAGGCCGATTTAAAGAAGGGGTTGTTAAATGGTACTGACAAATGTCAAACTTTACAGCAAAGGCTTGACAAAGAAGAAATATTACTGAGAATGACAAAGTCTATCACAAAGTAAGGCCACCTTCAACTATTATAAATTGTAGAACCATTCTGATCCTCAAGAACACCTGTAGAGGTGTTCATATAAAGCATTCATAACTAACGAGTTTCCTCTAAAAGGAGCCTTCGCATATCATGCCATTCGATTTACAAGTGTTAGTGCAAGCAACACTTCCCTCTGTTGTACTCTATCACCCTATTTATTTCCTTCACAGGCAAAAAAGCTGATAAAGGGTTATAGTGTTCACCTCTACCCAAAAGCTAAGAAAGTTCCTGGCACATATAACAGGTGAGCAATAAATATTTGAATGAGTAAAAATTTACTACACGTTTACAAGAATACATGCATGTACACACAAATATTGGAAAATGAGGAATACTTAACAGAAAACAACCAAACACTGAAAGTACTGAAAATGACACCTGTAGAAACAGGTGACTATGGTTTCAAAAAATAAGTACCTAAGATATTTATCCTAAAAATATAAAAATTTACTAGAAGGGGACTAGGAGTAGTTATTTTTCATTTCTATTGAGATGCAAACAAATAATGTTTAAACAGCAATAACTTCACATTAGACCTGGGAGTTACTTGCTGCAGAATGAACTACCCACAGAGCTTCTGTTCCACTCACTGCAGAGCATAAAATGTGGTTGACTCTAGTAACAAACATATATTCAGTTTTAGTTAAGAACAGCTCAGACTGTAGGTGATTATAAGCTTAAAAAGTTGCTAAACTGCTTCTCCCCAAATTTTTAAAATTCCATTAATAATTATGTAAAATAAAAGATTTTATAAATTGAATACAACATATTTTAAAAACAGATGGCCCTTATCTGCTGACCACACCTCAGCATCACTTTTCTAGGTATTCTGCAGGTACAATTACATTTATAAAAGGTCCATTCATAAAATAATCTGGTAACTAAATCAAGTGAAACTCAAATCAAAGAGCACTAGGTCTGCTGTTGAAACATTTAAAATACCTTTTTAAAAAGTGTTTACATCTATAGATTGGCTTTAAAAAAAGGACAAATGGAATAATTGTAGCATATCCCTGAAAATATACTGCCACCTATGTATTTTTTATGAGGTGTAAGGATAAATGAATAGACTACTAGGTCACACAAGTCAAGTATTATCTGTTGAAATGTGTAAGACAAAGCAACTTACTCCATATGCATTCTTACTGTACCCCAGAAGCGACTGGTGCTGGCACTATCAGTGCAACCATTACTGGCGATGGATAGCATGCTATTCTGTTTTTGTATCAGAACAAAAGTAGGAATGGAGAAGAGGTTTGAAAAGATTTTCTGCAAGGCTTTGTTATAGAAATTTAGCAGTAAACAAACCAACCAACAAGAACAAATGTTTAAGATTCACTGAAAACATTAAGATCAAGGATTTCAAAAGTTAATCCACTTTTCTTCCCCCAAGAGTTTATTTTTGGTAAAAGGCAGAAAAATTAGTTTTTCTACAAGGGAAATCTGCTTCTAAATGATAATTTGAAAATCTTGATATATATTATATATTAAAAAAGACACACAAAAATAACGGAGAAGTGGGAATAACAGATTAGGTACTGTAACTTTATAAAAGCTTGCCTAAATCAAGAAGCAGCACACACACACCTAATTTATGCAAACTAAAATGTATATAAACAGCACAATACTGTGATACTGGATCATGATACATTACCTGTACACATAACTACTACTGTTATTAATAAGCCTTTGGGACACTCAATTTTATGCCCAACAAGACATTAGTAAGTCTTTAAAATCTTCTCTTCCTCCTTTATGGGAGGGTATTTCTAGACACTAATTTTCCCATCTAATATTCGAATATAGGAAACGGATTCCACAAGGTGCTTTAATTGATGAGACCTCAAGTGCTGTTTTCTCGGTTGAATTTTTGGATACAAACAGTCCATGGGGACCACACACAAATACTATGACAGAAGAGTTGATACAGTAAGTCTTTTGATGGGACTGGATTGGTGATGGAACTTTATGACATGCTTGAGCAACGCACTGAAGGGGATCCCATCTGAGTTAATACTTTGTCCAACCACTGCAGAGGTCCATTCAGATGAAGTTCAATCCAGCAAGGAGTGCTTGTTACCGTCTGCCTTCTGTTTAAGAGAATACAAGCAAATAATTATGAAGTTAAGAGAACATGACTATGTTTAGTTACATGCAATAAGAATTTAGATAAAGTAAAAAGCTGAATATACTGAAACCTAAATTCTTTTGAACAAGTTTGGATATCTAATTATTCAGAAAACTGCTTAATCCTCAAAGTCTAACAAAGTATTCCCAATGACATTTTTCTTTTAAAAAGATTTATAAAAAACCTTCTTTCCCCCTTAAATTAAAATTTGTAGGGTGACCTTATTATTTACCATCCAAAATGGGACACCTTTATGAAAGAATGTAGTCACTATTAATAATCATGCCAGGGCAAGAGATGTAAACCAGGACTGCCCCATGCTAACAGGAATATATAGTTACTTATTTAACAACTACAGAATAGAAGATATTCAAATACCAAATGAAGTCTAAATAACACAGGGTTAAAGTATACCAAAACAAAATTCTGACCCAAACTCATCACAAAATGTTAAGAGTTATAGTAGTTCAACTTTCCTGGACAAAGCCAGTAATATCCCTTTTAGCAACATCATGCAAACTTTTAATAAGAAACACCCTTACTACGTCAACAAAAAGGGCTACTGCCTGGGAATCATAAATTGTTCAATGACATCCTGTCATTTCCATGTACTGATTTGAGCTGTTTTATTTAATATACAAGTCAGGAAATCTGCTTGCTTCTTTGTGACAGCCCTACAAACATGAGAAAAGGCTATTATCAACATTTCACCTCCAAGCAACACATGCTCAATATATTAAAACTGTATTTCAAGGGATGTGGTTTTTTGTAGCAGAGGGTCTAGTGCCCCATTATGCCCTTCAGATTTTTCAGTGTTCTCTAGACTAGCGGTTGCCAACCTTTCGGACCTCATGGACCACCACTGGCCTGTGGACCACGGTTGGCGACCGCTGCTCTTAGACATCTTCCAACTGCAGGTGTCTGCACTCATCTGCCTGAGAACTTCTTAGCTCTGTCCACGTGTGTAGCAAACTAGAAGTGCCAGGAAATTAATATCCCCAGGAGCAGCCTTCAAGCAATGACAAAGGAATTGGCATTTAAATGTTGTTTCCTTTCCCTCTGGGTGGGATAATTCTGAATGTTCTTTACCATTTTCCAAAGTTTCCCTCAGGGAATAAACTAGTGACCCACCCGCTATAGTAGATGGATTAATAATGATACTGGCTGCCTTCCCTCCCCTACCTCACTTCCTACTTCCTCCTTCCTTACCAGTGTTTCCTCCATTTCCTAAACAAACTCTTTGCACTTGAATCCTTGTCTCAGTGTCTGAGATATACACTAAGACATTCCTAAAATATGACACACAAAACACAATAGTCCAAATCTGATCTGTATAGACTCATTGCCTTGTTCTTTTTTAATTATTATTTTATTGATTTCAGAGAGGAAGGGAGAGGAAGAGATGATAGAAACATCATTGATCGGCTGTCTCCTGAATGCCCCCTACTGGGGATCCAGCCCAAAACCCAGGCATGTGCCCTTGACTGGAATTGAACCTGGGACCCTTCAGTCCACAGACCTACATTCTATCCACTGAGCCAAACCCTCATTGCCTTGTTTTGATTTAGAAACTATGTGTACTAGTATCTATGCAGCTTAAAATTGCACAAGCACACTTTACAAATTGCCTCATTATCCATGAGATATAGGCAAGACTGACCCTTTCTCATCTTCCCCTTCACTCTTTTTGTTTTGTTCTTCACAGTTTCTCCTGCCTTTCATCTATCCCTTGGATCAGACCTTTGGCAGCTATATTGCCAAAATCTCTTTTAATTTTGATTTTGCTATGTGCTGAAGTCTGGATTTTTGCTGAAGTCTGATGTTTTTCCCCAGTTTGTTTTCAGTCCAATCATTTCATTACTACATTAGTTTAACCTTCAGGAAAAATTCATCATCTAGGTCACTGAAGGGTAGAAATAAGTTTAAGAAGACTGTCACTATACCTATTTGGGCAAAAAAGTTGCACTTGAGGCATTATTTATCCCCCTACCTGTTTAGTTACTCCAGTACTGGTTCACTTATTTCTCAACATAATATGAATTCCTTACACACCTATATTTCCTTTTTAATGTATTCCTGACTTTATACTGGGAATTGAGCTGGCATTAAAGAAATGAAAAAACCATTTTAGAAGTCCGTTAGAACTACCACCTCAGATTCAAAGTCATTAAAGATAAAAGGTTCCTGGTAACTACCCATAATTCACAGATACATGGGTATTTTGATTTGTAAATGTTTAAGAAAGCTTCGTAATTATTCAAGTAGATATACCTGACTCTACACCCATAAAACCATACTGTATATTATTGCTTCTCATAATTACAGATTTTAAATGATCTCTGGGTTACAGAATGGCAGAGTCTATAGTAAATGCAGGGCAGTATCTCTCTCTCCCAATTAAAAATGCTTTTAGTGGGAGACCTATAATCTATTTCTCTAATCTATTCAGTGCATATTTAATTTAACTGATTTTCTACCATGTTCTGCAATATTCTAATATTTGAAGGGGGGAAAAAAGGTCTGACTTGAAAACATCATATCAGATAGCAATATTTGAATCTAATTTTAATATCAACTCAGATCAATTCAAGTCCAAAGGAAAAAAAGGAATTCAGCAGTCCTTAGAGGTATCACATCTCAAAAGGGAAATAGTTAAAGCAAAGAGAACTACAGCAAAGTCACAAAATGAATTTTCTACTAATATACCTAGGACAAAATAGTGAGAAGTCTTCATTCTAGGATATAAATATACAGCACAGAATATATTTTTACGGACGTATATAACCAAAAGACCTCAAATCTAACCACCTCACACAACTTACTTAAGATCAGAAATCAAGTCCAAGTGAAATGAAATAAATTCTGAAGAAGGGCCCAAACTGTGGAATTCTATTGCTATACTATATGAACATCTTCTTAAGTAGACATTCAAAGAGTAAGCATATGACCTGGAGAAAGATCAAGTATTTTACTTACAATCCCATTCTTTAATATGCTGAAGTCTTCCTTTTCTTTGATGTGGAATCCAATCTATTGTAATCTATCTTACCTCTTGATGACAAATGTGCTTTTGTAAAACTCAATTACGTAACTGGTACCACTATCTTTAGAGAAGAGAGGAAGAGTCAAGGAGAGCTTCCCTCAAGTCCTGTCTCCACCCATTACAAGGTGTCCTTGGGCAAATGATCAAATCTCTCCTAAGTCTATTTCCAAATAAGTATTAGTCTGAACCATTTTTTTATTTACAAAGACTGCAACCTCATAAAGAAAAGATAGTAACAGAAATTCTTAGCAATGTTGAAAGACATGATACTACATTTAAAACAAGCACAGGGCCTGACACCTAACAAGTACCCCCTTCTATTACTGAATCAAGTTCCAACACTTAACTTTATATTCAGGTGGTCTCAACTTATTTGTCCAGACTTTTTCTTCTTCTTCTGTATTTTCTATACTCTCCAGGCAAATTGAACTGCTATTTTATTGCCAGAAGCACCACCTGCCACACCCTCATACCTATGACTACTAAAATACTATACATCTTAGAATGTACATGATCTCCACCATCTCTACCAGAAGCCTTCACTGAGCCCCAGTGAAAACATACCTCCTTCTATGAACTGACATAATCCTTCCTTTACATCCCTTTTTATGGTATTTAACAATCTGTATTATGTTACAGTGAATGTCTATACATGTTTCATTTCAATTCTATCTTCTATAATGCCAGCAACAGAAATTCACTATATTTTGAATCTAGAGGCCTCCGACTTTCTTTTATTTCACATAAAGATCTACTGACTCCATAACCTCAATGAAAACAGATACATGTGAACTCCGGACTGTGCAAGAATGGGGGGAAAAAAGAATTATGTGGAAATTTAAGAAATGAATATGTATTTCATACCGGTATTCTGCTCCCCACCCTTTCACAAAACTCATTCTTATGGTGCACATTCTAGTTAGCTGATACACGGCTTCAAAACCCTGATTCACAGACTGAGCCAGAAGAGCAGCAAATTCCTGGTTGTTGAAAATCTTCAGATTACAGCCTATGATGGAAAAAGTAAAAAAAAAAAAAAAATTTGCGTAAAAAGAGTACTGTTGTAAGAAAATAGCTTTAAAAGGGCTACACATATTAGAATACAAGCATGCAAATCATCTCCTGATTCCTAAAATTAACAGCAACCAGAAAAGATAGGTTCATTTACATTGTTGTATCCATACCTGGTGGAATTTTACACACTGTTGCAGGGTGCCAGCCGTATCTCTGATTACAATTGGGGCTCTGCACAAAGATTGCACTATCACTTAGGCACTCAGCAAAAACTTCCCCACCTATGTAATATAAGCGCACTCCTCTTCCTAAAACAAAATACATATGGGATTAGTTTTATAACATTTACTATTTCAGCATGACTTGGGAAGAGTCTTCTAGAGGAATACTAAAATAAGGTACTTAGATGACATTTGCCGTAAGCTATGCTTTTCTGACATCTAATTTGAAACATGCTACAGTATACTTTCCCAAATATTTCTCAACAATGATTTTATAGATTTGCAAAAATAATACATACTTATCAAAACTATTTAAACAATGTAGAAAAGTACATGGATAGTAGTATAAAAAACTTCATACCAATTATATATTTTAAAATTAAGTAAAAGAAATTGAGTTAATTTGGAGGGAATTAACTGTTTGGAGAAATATACCTTCATTATAATACATAGTATTTCTTTAAATAGCCCACTAAGGTTAAGAAAAAAGGTAATAAAAATGACCAAGCCCTGGCTGGTGTGGCTCAGTTGGTGGAGCATCATCCTATACACACCAAACCACTGGTTCAGTCCCTGGTCGGGGTACATACGGGAGGAAACCAATCAGTTTCTCTCTCACATCAATGTTTCTCTCTTCCTCTCTCTAAAATCAATTAAAAAAAAAACATTTAAAAAAAATCATCAAGAGTTTATTTCTGGTGGGCCTGACTTAATGAGGTGATACCCTTGAAAGAGATTGGGCTGTCCCTGGTGAAAGTGATTCAAAGGTGAGAGAGGGTCAACGCAAGGGACTTTCCAGTGGGCACGATGAATGCAGGTCCACCTGGCAAGGAATGTAGGTGGACTCCAGATGCTGACAGCAGCCTCTAGCTGACAGTGTGCAGAAAATGAGTACCCCAGTACTGTGAGTTCAAGGAAGTGAACTCTGCAACTCATGTGGTCGGACAAGGACCTCAAGCTCCAGATGAGAAGGCAGTTCAGACGACACCTTGATTCCCCTAGTGAGACCCTGAGAAGACTCCTAAGCCGTGCCTGGGGTTCTGACCCACAGGAACTGTGAGATAATAAATTTGTGTTATTTTATGGTCAGTGTACGGTAGTATGTTGCACAATTTAAAAAACACACGAAATTCCCCCAAAAGCTAATAAAAGGACCAACAAGCCAGATTTAATATATAGTATAGATACAAAATCTGGTGCCCTGTTCTCTTATGACTACAGAATATGTGTTTAAAAATAATCATTTACTTGACTATCAGGAAAACATGAAGTCTAAAAAGTAAAGATATTTTTAGGCTATATTCTCTGATCAAAAACACCTAATAAACTAGAAATCAAAAGTAAAAAAAAAAGATAATCCAATAATTATATCAATCTAAAATGTTGCAGAAATGAAATAAGGTATAGAAAATCTTCTGTTAAATTTTTATGCAGAACCCCAATTAAAACACAGAAAAAAAGAATATTTTAAAGTAGGGTGGATATGCAGAGACCTTTGTCACCTACAAGACACCTAAGTACCCTAACAAGATATGCAAAATTTTAAAAATCAAGCAAGATTTGAGGAATTCCACATGAAGCCAAATAAGAGACCTCTTAAATCCCTAATACTCTACAGCAGTGGTTCTCAACCTTCTGGACCTTTAAATACAGTTCCTCATGTTGTGACCCAACCATAATATTTTCGATGCTACTTCGTAACTGTAATGTTGCTACTGTTATGAATCATAATGTAAATATCTGATATGCAGGATGGTCTTAGGCGATCCCTGTGAAAGGGTTGTTCGACCGCCAAAGAGGTCACAACCCACAGGTTGAGAACCGCTGCTCTACAGTATCACACTCACTCTTTAGTGATCAGCATCATTTATCATAGGAGGTGACTGTTCGTTAAATGGAAACAGAAGAAAACAATTGTTAAAAGAAGTTACTTTAAGGTAATAAGAGCTATGTTCAGTTATATCAGTGGTGTTTAAACATTTTTTTTTTTTACATCAGTAAAAAGGAAATATTGAAGACCCCCAGAGTTTTACATCTATGGAAACTTACCATACTAGACATTAAAACTAGGATTTAAAAAATGTATTCACTTAAAATAAAAATAAAAAAACCCCTCAACATGTTAACATAAATAGCAGGTTTATAAATAAATAAATAAACCTTTCCAAAGGTAAAAAAAAAGTTAGTTCTCAGAGTAGCAGTGTATTTTTGCAAATCTCTTTAATGTCTAATTTAACAGAAGAGTGCTGGATTCTCTTTAATGTACATTTAATTTCTTGCAAGCTCATATGCCATCTAGCCTCTGAATACTTCACTGTGTGAGAGATGGCAGTGGAAAAGGCAAATAGCATCCCAGTACCATTAATGAAAAGTTTTGACCTCACGAACTTGCTGAAAGGTTGTTGGGACTACCACATTTTGAGATACTTTGTGGATTATTTTTTGAACTTCATGAAATAATAGTTCTTGTTTTACATATCTTGCTTCAGATTAAAAGTGGTATTTTTAACACATGAACTCACTGAAGGGAGAAACTAGGAGATGTAAATGAACTGAAAAAAATTCATCATTTGTTAAAAAAATATGAACATGACAATTTTATGATTGGTAGAGACTCAGCAAAGTAAAGTTATTTTAACACCTATTTATTGAAGGATCTCCCAGTATAAAAAACACGAAATAACGAGAAGTCATAGAGTTTGTAGATGGAAGGATCACCAGGATTTATTAAAAGCAGTGAAGCTGTGCACTTAAACCGACAGAGACAAGGCAGGCTTCTCTGCACACAATCGTTTGATGTGGTAAACCACACAATGCTCACATTATGAGTATATGGCATTGGTTTTTCACACAGGGAAAAAAACAAACATACCTATATGTCTTCTTGTCATTTCTACTGTAGCATTTCGGTTGACGTTGGAGAGTAAACCTAAGCAGAATCTCTCTGAATTTGATGGATCTGTGAAGCCGTCTACAGTAAGTGAGGGCTGTGATGCATGGAAGGTCTCTCCAACCCTCTGGTTTAATTCATAATAGGCTATTGAACACCAAAATGCAGGTTCTGAGTATGTAACTGGCTGCAAGTCTAGGGCAGAGGAAACCAAACCCATAAGAGTAAGAAATGTTGTGTGAACAATTCAAGCTAAGAACAGGCTGAATATTATCATCTTTACATGCTCTATGCCAGCATATCCGGGCAAAAGCTCAGGAAGTAGATCTAACTTCTACGTCATGAACTCCAGTTTCCATAGATCATACCAGATTTTCAATTTCCCCCATCTCATTAAGACATCCAGTCTTCAAACTTAATAAAGCTAATTTTTGGTAGAATTATGTGAAATAAAGCTGGAGCAAGAATTAATATAGTCTATGGCCACAAAAAGGAAAAATGTCACAATAATAGGATACAAATGACACACTTTTGACACTTGCCTATTTTAATATCAAGTCTTCAGGGGTTACCCTAATTACAAAAATATAAAGCACCCCCTTACACACACACAAAAAAAAATAAATAAGTACAAAGAATGTGCAAGTAGAAACAGAACATGGATTCAAAAGAATCTATATATTGCATGGGAAAACTAGGATCACATGTATTTAAGTTCTATAATTTTGATTATAAACCATCACAAGGAATTCCAAATGTGTCAAATGAAGAGAAATTGTGAAATAGCAAGATAAAATAGTCCAAAAATAAACTACAGAATACTTATACACACACACATGTGCACACACACTAGCTCTCACACAGCCCCCAAACCACATATTTGTGGTATGTGTACACATATTTACCTCTTATATTAATAATTGCTATTATAATATATATCATAAAATAACATACCCACAAATATCTAGTCGTAATGTCATAAAATTTACTGTGACTAAAGAATATGGTTTCCATGAATAAACAGATTATAATTTCTTATATGTGCCAGTAGAAAAGCGGTTAGTAATATTGAGGCACATTACCAGTATCATTATTAAAAAGCACTAATTTGAATAATTACTCGGTTATTTATGGGCTCTCTTTCTCATATATAAAATAATGACCAAAGAGGACATTTAAATAATACAGTATAAAACAGTGGAGGGAAAATATTTGCAACTTACCCAAACTATGATTAACAGGGGAAAGAGAAGTAGGAGATAGTTCTGCTGGGGATCCTGAAATAAAAGAAGTTAATTTAAAAACAGATATGAAGTATTTCCAGAACTTCTGACCAAATAATAAAATAGATTATAATTAAGAATCACAAATAATAAATAATTTACAACCCAAGCATTATAAATATACAGCTGCTTGGTTCTGGTAGGGTAGCTCAGCTGGTTCAAGTATTGTCCTGATAGGCTAATAAGGTTATGGGTTCGATCCCTGGTCAGGGTACATACAACAATCAACCAATTAATTCATAAATAAGTGGAACAAATCAATGCTTCTTTCTCTCTCTAAAAATCAATAAATATAAATTAAAAAAGATATACAGCTGCTTTATGTTAGTGTAATTTGGGAGGCTTCAATATATAAAAGGTAAAAAAGGCGTAAAACAGCCCTAACCGGTTTGGCCTAGTGGATAGAGCATCGGCCTGCGGACTGAAGGATCCCAGGTTCGATTCCGGTCAAGGGCATGTACCTTGGTTGCAGGCACATCCCCAGTGGGCGGTGTGCAGGAGGCAGCTGATCAATGTTTCTCTCTCATCGATGTTTCTAACTCTCTATTCCTCTCCCCCCCTTCCTCTCTGTAAAAAGTCAATAAAATATATATATTTAAAAAAAGGCGTAAAACAGTCCCAGCTTCTAGTCACAGAGTTCCCCTTCTCAAAGGCATCCAGTGTATTTTTCCAAAAATAATCTATGTATCAAATAAGTAAATATATTCTCTTCTGTGCCCCCTGTTCTGTATTTACAAATATAATATAGTTCTTAACTTTGCTTTTAAAAGATTGAAAGATTGCAATGATTAATTTGCACATTTTGCATACTTTCAATTACACCTGAAGGACAGACTCTTAAAAGAGGAACTGCCAGGTCAAAGGGCCGTGGTTCCATCATTTTGATAGATTTTGTCAAAATTGTCACCTATAGAGCTTATACTGGTTCACATTCCCAGTAACAACAAATGGTGAGGGGACGCTCATGTTATTGTTAATAGATAAGAACTTGGTCTTAAAAAGTATAGTTTTAATCTGTGTTTCTCTTATAAATGACATTGAGTAGCTTTATACTTATTTATATTGTATTTCCTTTTTGTGAATGGTCTGTTCTTTTCCTTTGTTCTTTTCTCTATTGTGGTTCTAATCACTTTTCTTACTGACCTATAGAAAGCTCTTTATGTATTAGGCATCTTAGTTAGCCCTTCCATGCTATGAGTTGCAAATATTTGATTGTTTTATGACTCTTCACCCTAATTCTGATTAAGTAGTATTAAAAAAAACTTATGTGATATAACTTACCAAGCATTTTGAGATTTATCACACTTTGGTAAAACAGTGGTAACAATGGATATTCTTGTTTTACTCTTAACTTTAAGAGAATACTTCTAGTATTTTCCCATTAAGTATAATGCTGGCTTTGATAATGAGAGAGATAACATTGCTTATTTAGGATTTTTAGATCAATACTTCCAACCAATACTGGTCTTCAGATTTACATTGCAAGTGCAATATTACACTACTTCATAATTATAATCTAGAAGCTGTATGCCTTTCTTATGCTCTGTAACAGTTTAAAGAGCATTTTAATAACACATTCCTTAGTAGTTTGATAGAGATTCTGTGTCAGACTGTTTGCAGTTAAACATTTTCTAGGGTTTATTCTAAGACATTTCTCTATTTCTTCTATGACAGCTGATAGCTCTATTTTTTGGAGTCAGTTTGGTAGGTTATATTTTCTTAGAAAATTACTCATGTCTTCCAGTTCTAGGTAAGCAAGCTTACTCTAATCAAGAACATATGGGGAGAGGGCACAGATATACAAAATAAGAAAAAGAAGGCAGAACTGCAGACACACAAGAAAAAAAGCAAAATACCAAAAAAAACCCCCAAAACCCAAAACACAAAACCACTCAATACCACACAACTAATTTAAATACATTTGTTGTAAATTTGTTCAATAGTTATATATAACTAGAGGCCCGGTGCATGAATTTGTGCACTATTGGGGTCCCTCGGCCTGGCCTGCAGGATTGGGCCGAAACTGGCTCTCCGACATCCCCTGAGAGGTCCCGGATTGTGAGAGGGCACAGGCCAGGCTGAGGGAGCCCACTGGTGCACCATCGGGGCCAGGGAGGGACACGGGAGGTTGGCCAGCTGGGGAGGGACTGTGGGAGGACTCCAGGGTGTGTCCGGCCCATCTCACTCAGTCCTGATAGGCCAGACCCCAGCAGCAAGCTAACCTACAGTTCGGAGTGTCTACCCCTTAGTGGTCAGTGCACATCATAGCAACTGGTTGACCAGTTGACTGTCTGCCCTCTGGTGGTCAGTGTACATCATAGCGAGTGGTTGAGCAGCCTTAGCATATTATGCTCTGATTGGTTGAACGGCTGACCAGACACTTAGCATATTAGGCTTTTATTATATAGGATTATAAATTTTGTTTTCTGATCATCATTTTCTATACCTTTTGGAAAAGTTATAAAAAAAAAACATGACCAACAGCTCCCAAGCTTCACATATATAGCAATGGCATAAACATAGAATAAGACAGGACAGACCCCCTTGTGTACCTCTCCTCTCCACACTATGATAACCATGACACAAAATACCAGGCAGCACAAGTAAAATGGTAACCCCAATAAAAAACAAACAACAACAACAAAAAAAAAACCAGATGAATAAAAAAGAGAACAGATGATAATTTTTAGAATTAGAAGAGAACAGTTTTCCATAACAAAATTAAGTTCTCAGGTTCTTTATTTGTTCCTCATTTTGAAAAATCTGTTGGCAAGTCCCAGCAGGTACAACTAAGAAAGGTCAAAATATATTTAGAACAATAAAATAAAACTCACTGCTGTTTCCTGAAGCTGTTATAAAATAAACAAAGCTACTATTAGACATGGAGGAAACTGCCCAATTTTTAACTTTTTAAATACTTATCAGAAATGACCAGTAGTTACAGTTCATTAATTTAGACTAATAGGAGTTCACTCAGGTGTGATATAAAGAATTTAGGAATTACAAAAAGAAAGGTTCATTATAATCATACATATATGGATATATATACATAGATATATATATAAAGCTTTTAAAAGTTCAATTAAGGTAACAATTCATTAACTAACCAAAGTTTTTTGAAACATTTTTACAAATACAGGTTAACTGACAATTAACCTACTAGTTATTCATATATACATATTGTTACTAAGGTCTGGAATTTCCTATTATGAGAAATAAAAAAATATCCTATTTCACTGGTTTGAATCATCGGTTTCTGATACTTTTAGATAAAACATCTACAGAAAAGCTTGTGCATGTATCATTGTATGCCAGTTCTATGTTACTCTCTAGTATTATCTTATTCACAATACCCACCATCCAATCAAAAAAAACATGAGAATGCAAAGTAGAAAAAAAATGATCCAGAAGCAGACCTATATATAAATCAGATACTGAAATTATCAGATTAAGAGTTTAAATGAATCCCTAGCCAGTTTGGCTCACTGGATAGAGCGTTGGCCTGCAGACTGAAGAGTCGAGGGCTCCATTCTGGCCCTGGTTGGAGCTCATGTGGGAGACAACCAATCAATGTGTCTCTCTCATATCAATGTTTCTCTCTGTCTCTACCCTTCCCTCCCACTTTCTGAAAATCCATGGAGAAAATATTCTCAGGTGAGGATTAACAACAACAACAAAAAAGTTTAAATGAAAATTGTAAAACTGAAAAATAAGATGATCTAAAATGAATTCACTATTTTGGTTTAACAGCAGACCATAAGTTAGACCCACACACACATTATCACTTGATTTTCACCAAAGAATCCAAGGTAAATCAACAGAAAAATAAACTCTCCAACAAACGGTACCAACACAACTAGACAAATGTCTACGCAAAGGAATGAAGAGCAGAAATGTGTGCAGTAGTTCTCTAATTCACGGTTTCACTTTTCGTGGTTTCAGTTACCTGTAGATATGAAGCATCCCTCTGCCCAGCATATTCACACTATATTCGCTACCCACCCATTAGTCACTTAGAAGCTGCCTAGGTTATCAAATGGACTGTTATGGAATTGCAGTGCTGGTGTTTAAGTAACGATTATTTTACTTAAAAATGGCCCTAAACACAAGAATACGGATCAACCAAAGAGAAGCCTTAAAGTACTTCCTTTAAGTGAAAAGGTGAGTACAGTAAGATATTTTAAGAGAGACCACATTCAGATAATTTTTATTACAAGATATTGTTATAATTGTTCTATTTTATACTAGAGGCCCGGTGCACAACATTCGTGCACTGGGGGGTGTGGGGGGTCTCTCAGCCCAACCTGCACCATCTCCAATCTGGATACCCTCAGGGGAGCCCTCTCCAATCCGGGAGTTTCTGTCTCTGTCCCATGGCCTCCCACTCTGACAAGCTCTCCCTCTCTGCTCTCCGCCCGGCGCCTGTGTATGCAAAATAACCCACCAGCTTTGTCTGGTTAATTTGCATACTCACTCCTGATGGGCTGGTGAGCGTAGCAGAGGGATGGTCAATTTACATGTTTCTATTTTATTATATAGGATTGTTGTTAATCTTTTACTGTGGCTAATTTACAAATTAAACTTTATCCTAGGTATGTATGTATAGGAAAAAAACATCCTATATAATAAAAAACTAATATGCAAATCGACCAAATGGCCTAACAATTGGTCACTATGATGCGCACTGACCACCAGGGGGTAGATGCTCAATGCAGGAGCTGCTCCCTGGTGGTCAGTGCACTCCCACAGGGGGAGCGCCACTCAGCCAAAAGCTAGGCTCATGGCGAGTGCAGTGGCTATGGTGGGAGCCTCTCCCACCTCCTCAGGAGCACTAAGGATGTCTGACTGCCAGCTTAGGCCCACTTCCCATTGAGTGGGCCTAAGCTGGCAGTCAGACATTCCCTGAGGGCTCCTGGACTGCAAGAGGGCACGGGCTGGGTTGAGAGACCCCCTCAAGTGCACAATTTTCGTGCACTGGGCCTCTAGTAGTATATATAGGGCTCTGTATCATCCACTATTTCAGGCATCCATTAGGGGGTCTTGTAACATATTCCCTGCAGATATGGAAGGACTAGTGTATATTCATTTTATTGTTCTTGCCACACACATTTCAGCTATATTATAAAATAGGCATTTGTACACCAATTGGATCCTTGTGGTCTTTTGTGTCTGGGTTCTTTCACTTAATGCTTTCAAGGTTATTCCATGTTGTACCATGGATCAATACTTCATTCCTTTGAACAATAGTCCAATGTATGGATTTAATTTATCCATTCATTATTTGATGGATAATTGGGTTGCTTCTACTTTTACATGAACACTTGGGATACAAGTTTACCATGGGTGTGTACAAAATTACTTTTCAATTTTCTTGGGCATATATCTAGGAGTGAGCCTGCTAGGTTATATTGTTATTCTATAATTTAATTTTTGAGGAACAGCAAATTTTTCCAAAGCAACTGAACTATTTTATACTTCCACCAGAACCATATGAAGACTCCAAATTCTCCATATCCCCATCAACACTTGTTATTATCCTTCTCTTTTTATTATGACCACTAGAGGCCCAGTGCACAGATTAGTGCACAGGTGGGGTCCCTCGGTCTGGCCTGCAAGGACTGGGCCAAAACCACCTCTGCAACATCCCCTGAGGGGTCCCAGATGGCGAGAGGGTGGTTCTCAGGTGACACACCCCGGAAATGGGCTCCCTCCTCTCTGGTTCAAGGTGCATCACCCCTACGTTGAGATGTTCCTGCATTGAGTGTCTGCTCCCTAGTGGTCAGTGCACGTCATAGCTATCGGCCGGTTGGCAGGTCACTTAGCCCTTCATATATATAGATTCCAGTATGTGTGAAGTGGTATGCCATTGGCTTTCATTTGTGTTTCCCTGATGGCTATCATGGCATTCACTTTTAAATGTAGAGCAGCAGTTGACCATCATGGGGCAAACAGGAACATGGTTGATTCAGGAATACAATTCTTCAATATATGGGTGGGTTAGAAAGATACATTTGAAAAGCCAAATATCATTTGCAGAAAGACATTTGCATTTCCAATAATCATTAGATTATCTATCTTTCTTGGTTATCTACTACTCTGAACACCTGTAAATATTATTAGCTATAGTAGAAGCTTCCTTACCTGGAAGTCTAAATAATGGAAGGATTTAAACAACAGAATTATTGTAAAAGCCTGCCCACCCCAACTTCCCCCGACCGCCAATGTTAATTCATTTAAGAATAACTTAGATTATCATAACTGCAGAATGCTTTATACTATAAACTGTAGAAATTTGTCAGGTTGTAATTTTACAGTGTCCAATCCTTAAGATACTGACAGGTTGAAATGGATCAAAACAGACAATTACAATGACATCTATTTCACTAGCAACCTATTAGTTCTGGTGGATTATACATTATTACATAACAACTGTTTTAAAGCTTTGAGGTACATAATATTTATTATATATAGAAACGTATTCTCCATTGTGTTTGGAATCGATAGCTAAATTAATTAGAAAGTAATTTCATTATGTGAGGTACAAGATACTTTTTGTAAACAGTCTACTATAATTCAGAACTCACTCTTATGTTAAAAGAGCACTGCAAGATGAGTCACATCCCTTACTTCCAATTTCCTCTGAAAATCTGTTATTGGGCTAATTATGAGCTTTCATCACAAAGATATTTAATCACAGGATAACTAAAACTTTCAACAGAATCACAGAATATTTACAAAGAGAAATAACCGAGTGTTCTCAAATTCTTATTTACTCTAACAAGAACAAATTTTACCAATTATTCTGCTGAGCAGCATATGTTAATTTTTCATGGACAACAGACCCTTTGATGGCTCAAATATAATTAATTCAAGATAAAAAAATTTTTTTGATGTGTCCCAACTTCTCTAAATTTAAGAGTTATGAATAACTCATGTGAGTTTCAGATAAGGCAAAAATGGTTAGCTAATTGCTAAGGTATTTTGAAAATTTTTTTTTTTTACCTGTATCCATACTTTGGTTCAACTGTTGATCACTTGTTTCTCCATCTTCACTGATATATCCAGGAGGTGGTGTTTCTACAGAAATTTAGAACAAATCAAGTACAGTTACAATTTAATCTCACCTTTTCTACCAGCTACCAAAGATAACCCAACGAAACGCTCTGATTAACAAACATAAATGTTATATAACATCATTATAAAAAGCAGTATTGGATACTAAGAACTCAGAATTCAGGCTCTGGTCCAAACCTTATAGGCAAAACCTTAAAGCCTACTTGAAATACAATTGAGCTGTTTGGGCATATTTTCTTAACTATTATTTACATATCTGGCTCATTCTCCTATGTATATTTTCTGGGGCAAGAGCCAAAAATATAACTTCAAAGATACCTCAGTTCTGGATCAGTATATTTCAAAGACATTAGTACCTACAATGTGTTTTGCTTTTTTTTTTTTTTTAAACTAATGGCCACCATGGATGAGTATTTAGATGACTAAAGGAATCTCCCCCTTGCCCTTCAGCCTAACCACACACACACACACACACACACACACACACACACACACACACACACTCAATCTTCCTTTTTACATAAGAGAGCATACTGGCCATTCATTTCAGATTATAGAGTAATACAGGCTTACATCTTCCACTAAGTTTTATAGGGCAAAATATGGTAATATACTTCAGGACTGGCCTTGAATTCTACCAAAAAGTGTATTTCCCCAAAGATTTCTAAGCAGTAATTCCTGAATATTAAAGCAGAAAATTAAATTCAAATACAGATTACTGCACAAAACGGAGGCAAAATACTCCCTGAAAATAAATAAGATTCCAGTGTGCCATTTCCAATATGTTTATTCAGGAGGCATATGAAATACCTGAATAAGCTTCGTGTAAAATAAAAACATTTATACAATTTTAACAATTACAATTTTGAATGAAAAATAAGTTTAAATGATTATCGACAGTTTAATATATACATTGCTGGAAGTTTTAAGCAATTCAAATAATGCAGACACATACTTTAAAAGAATTCTGTAATTACACGAGGAGGAGAGAGAAGAGGGTTAATGGTTTTCTTCATTAATCTTTTTTTTAAAAATATATTTGTATTGATTTCAGAGAGGGAGAGGGAGAGATAGAAACATCAATGATGAGAGAGAATCACTGATTGGCTGCCTCCTGCACACCCCTCCTGGGGATCGAGCCCACAACCTGGGTATGTGCCCTTGACCAGAACCGGCCAACACTCTATCCACTGAGCTAAACCGCCTAGGGCTGTTCATTAACCTTTTCAATCTCCCTTCAATAAGCTAACTACAAATTTTAACTTCTTAATATCAAACTCTTAAGTGTCAATACCCCAAAATTTTTAATACTGAAATTCTAAGAATACTTTCATATATTCAAACAACAAAGAACATGAAAGAGTAATATATAACCATTATGCACTATTTCAAAGGTTAAAGGTGATAAAATTAAACAGAGCTAAGCTTTGCCAGTCTAACTGCCTATGTCTCAAATTCTAAGTAGAAATACTTTTAAATACTTTATCCTAGTTTATTTTTCACCATTTTAATCTGTAAAATAATAATAAAGTCATTAGCATTTTGGAGAAAATATTAAATTTTCTTTAGAAATGGAATAAAAAGCGAAACCTGAGGTTTTACTATCAGTCAGAGCTGGATAAACCCCACTGTCCAAAAAAACACAAATAGGTACATTTCATTTTTGATTTCCTTCTTTGTAAAATACCCAAATCTAAACAAATAGAGAAAACACAAGTCCAAACATCTCCACAAATGAAAGCCACTAAGCATTCTGATTAACATCCTTCCAAATAATTATTGGGTACATGGTCTTATAAGACTGCATGCTTACTGGTATCTCAGTTTCCTAATATTGCTAAGTCCCACTTCAAAGACTTAAAATGGCTCTCCCTCTCCTCACGCCACACACACAACTCTAGTTTCAGCAAACTCTCTCTAGGAAATGTCCTGTTTTAGTCCTATTTCCCCATCATCCTAGCCCTCATACTGCATTCCACTCATCACTACTTCCTAACTTAAAAAGTTTGTTTCCTAGCAACCCAAAGAGCAGTCTTAAATTCCTATTTTGTAATAAAAGAGTAATTAAAGAAATGCACATTTAAACAATTAGAAGATACTTTCTAACTTTAAAATTAACTATTTGGAAAAATCCTTATGTTTTAAAAATTGTCTTCAATGAACAGGCATTATCTTCATGATGAAACACATTAAAGAAATGTTTTATGTGCTTGAAAATCTAAGTTCCTTACATATTTTCAGTTGTATAAAAAAATAAGAGTGGGATAGAGGAATATTGCAAAAAGAGAAAAAATTAACAGCAAGAAATCCAATGTATACATTGGATTTAATCTGCATCCTAGTATACCTTTAGTTTCTGCTAAAAGGGGGAGGGGCAGAAAAGTAAGAAAACATTAGTTGTTCTCCTAAAAAATTGTGAAAAATTAAGGGTAGGCAGCTACCGTATCATGGAATATGTTGTTAGATCCCATAATACAATAATTAAGGCAGAAGTTACTTAGGCCCAGATTAAAAAGAACTAAAATACTTCATCTCCCACAGAAATGTTACACCTCTCTTAAACATTATCTATGAAAGTAATTATTTGGTCAATTTTTAATTACATTTGTTTCAGGAATAGTTTTTTCCTGTATCATTTATTTTGCTTACATTCTATATCTCTCTTAGCTTCAACAACTAAGATAAACTTACTAAGATCTTTTCTTTTCTGCTTCTCAGAGTACTTTGATTAAAGCCACTGCAAAAGAAAATGAAATATAAAGTAAAACTTTTCTCCAGACAAAAATGTTTAATGTACTAGGTTTATACATTTCACAAAAAATAATCACCCAATAGATCATATTTTTCTATTTAAAATCCAAAAGAATTTTTTAAAAAGTCAAACCACAGCTTACTAATACTTGAAAGTTTATGAATAAAATTTGTATCTATCCCAATTTTAGGAGGTTTGGAAAGCAAAATACCTGGAATGTAATTACTCTGTGGCTCAATTCCCGCTGGGAAATTAGTGTTTTCTGGAATGGAGTGGGTATAATCATCCAGAGGCGGTAGTTCTGTTAGGATCTCAGTGTGCCGTGGTACTAACACAGGAGGCAAAACTAAAAAGTAAAAACAATCCAAGTTAATGGCAAGGAGCAAGGGGTAGGGAACAGGACCTTTATTAAAAGTTTTCACACACAAAAAAAGAAAGCCTGCTTAATTTTTAAAATTTAGGGTCCACCTATTTGGTATTATACAAGTTATAATTTCTGATTATGATTTTAACTTACCATATAGTTCACAATAATTTCCAAGACCCAATTTATCTTGTACTTTTTGGTACTAGGTGATCCTGGTAATATTATATTACCATGAAAAGTTCAAAAATCCCCACTAGAAAGGTTGCAAAAAGATTTGTAAAATCAAATTTTCTAAAAATACAGCTATAGTCTTAAAACGTTTCAAGTTCACAGCTAAGTAAAGGTTAAGTCTTTCTATATGAGTTGCTTATTAAATTGCTTAGATAGGAATAACGTCATTGAAATTTCTTAACAAAAAATAAAAATAAAAACCAAGAGAGCAAAATGACTGAAAACAGTTAATGCAGCAGACAGGTAAACAGATTCATCAGCTTATTTCTAAATAGACTGGAATTTCCTATACTTCGATGTGAAGTAATATGCTATTCCAAGAAACCATCTTTTCCACTAAGTTATATTTTCGATAAAATATTTTTTTTAATTGTAAAGTATTTTTAATGACCACCAAATAATATACTGAATTTAAGGTAATTTATTAGAATCTTACACCAAAATTTTCCTGGGTCAACTAGATATAATGAACACCTAATATACTTAAGTTCAAGCATTTAATTTTTTTAAAAAACCTACTTTTCCTACCTGGTGTCTCAACTCTCTGGTAGTGGTAAGGGTTTACACATACTTCATCCTTTTTAAGATTAAAAGCATATTCGCAGTTTTCAATTGCTTTGAGTTCATGATGACTATGAAGATCAGGCCAGCGCCATAATCGGCAATATATAACGTGTGGCAGTCCTTTCCGATGAGATACCTGAAGACGACCATCAAGAGACCTATTGGGAAGCAAGGGGAAAAGAAAGGTGGGAGCTTTAAAAAAACAGAAATAGTCAAATGGACTAAATTAGTACAATAAAAGCATAAAGAAAAAAGTGACAGACATTCAGTTAGTTTTAGTGAATACAAGGAAGAAAAATGTACTGAATAATATACTGAATTTAAGGTATTTTATGGATCTGATATAAAAGAAAGCAGCAGCTCTAGCAGATGTTTCTTAAAACATGTTACACAAATGACTTCAGTGTCAGTGAATGGATAACCATTTGGGAAAACTAGATTTTTAAGTGTATTATATAGTTACACTTGAAAAACTTAGTCAACTTTTATCTTTAATAAATCAAACTATTATTTAGGGATTCTTTTAGGGGCATTAATTCTGTAAGTGACTGAATTATCAAAAAAGGAACTACTGTGAAGAATGGTAAATACCAACAATGATATAAAACTTACTCAAACTAATGTAACTCATTACCCAATTGTGATTGTACTGAGTGTGGGGAGGTATTATTTCTATAGCTCACACATAAATGCAGATGGTGATGAGTATGATGAGATGAAATGGACAAATACTAATATGTTTAAAAAGAGAATGAGGTGATTAAAAAAAGATAAGGTAAAAAAACAAGTTAGCCTTGTGTTGTGTTCAGTAATCAACTATGTACTTATTAGTATACAGATGAGATTAGTATACAAGAAATGTAGCAAACCTGGTTATGTATCTATTTAAAAATTAGGCCAACAACAGATCTCAAACTGAAATGAGAATATAGTTATCAGAGTTTCTATTCTTTAGGGGATTCAATAATTTAAAGATGCAAAATTAGAATTTCATTGATCAAAACTTCAGCTGAAACATTTAATAATACTTTTAATATCGGCAAGCAGGTATTTTAAATGCTATGCCTTATTTTACATTAGGGTAACATCCTAGGCAAAATTATATTAAGCAACCCCACTATAGGTCTTCCAAATACCCCCCGCCCACAAGATTGCTAGGATTTGACAGAGGGCAGAATATTCACCTGGTTTGTTCAGAGAAGCTGTAAAGGCCTGTTGTATCCCACTGATCTATCGTATTTGGTGTACTCAGTCCCCAAATTTCAGAGCAAGTGCTGTGCATAAATTGAAAAACAAAAAATTGATGTGAACATGGAAGCATGGTTATTCAAAATACCATGATGTAAAACATGAAAAATGTACAGAATACTTCCTTCACTGAGAAAATATACATTGCTTCATGTTTTCACAGGCATTTAGTACTGATTTCTATATTTTCTATATGAAGGAAGCCAATAAAATGGAACATGTGACTCCAGATAAGTTATGATTATGTTTTTAAAATGTGAACACCAATGCTCTCTAGCTTAATGAAATCATACCTATAATGTCCTTTTCAATTTCCTCTACTCACAACAAAAGATCTAATACCTATGTCATTAGCCTTACTAACAGTGCTTCATTTTATAATCCAGTTTTTAAAAAAACTTATGTAAACACAAATGTCAACTCATATTTTAAATACAGGAAAAATTCCAATTAAAACAGATAGATATCTACAGTTAAGATTTTCAAGTTATTTGAAATACTTATATATTCAGTTTTACAGAAATTATTGGTCTTTTATCACAACAAAGGACAAGGAAGTAGATTTTGAAATCATTCTAATGTAGCATACTATCTTAAAAGTTTTAAGAAATTTCTATAAGGACTAAAGATATGTGAAAGCACCAAATTCTTAAAAGATAGTATGAATATGAAAACTTTGTTGTATCTAGTTTTTTGTTGTTTTTTAATCAGTATACCCGAAAGCCACAGAGCAAAAAGAGCTCAAAATTTCTCCCACATTCCTTTTCAGAACCTGAGCAGTCTAGAGATAATTTTTCTTGTTTCCCCTGTTACTATTGCATTTCACAGTAACTTCTCATCCAGGGGAGAAGGGAAGAAGAGGACCTTAAAAGCTGTCTAGCATGAACTCTTAACCACCAAGGTGTCTCAGGTCCTAAGTTTTACTTTAAAAAATTAGAGTCAAAAAAGGTAATTAAATTCCAGATGTACACACTACTAATGAACACTTCAAAGGCAATAGTGAAAAGTGCTGTCTTCCTGTGGCTGGGCAGCACACATCCATCACGTGGGGTGCTGGGCCTCTTGCATAACCACTGGGATGCAGAAACATCTCATGCCACGCTTTGGGGCTACAGTAACTAATTCTAGACAGTTTAAGAAAATGTATTTTTGGACACTCTCCAGCACCTTAAGATATTTTAAAGATTCTCTGGGTTCTTAGGCTGCAGACATCTATCTTTCATTTCCCAAGCTGCAAGTCAGAAAAAGCCCAAAACCTGGAAGATAATTTAGACCTTCTCTTCCCCCGACACCTAAATGTGTACTGACTAAAAAACCGTAAAATAAATGGTTCTTTTATTTAAGATAGTTGTCAAATAGCTACTGGAACAATATAGCACCATGTAGTTTAAATTACAATAAAAGCAACTAAAGTCTAGAGTCTTATGAATCTAAATTTAAACCTCAGAAGGAACAGGATACAACTTATTCTTTCTTGGACAATAATTCAAGAAAGGTAATTAACAAAAGATCAGACCAAGGGGCTATTCTGCTCTTATGAAGACCAGGCTAAACATTTCACTCCAATAACTCTGGGACTGACACAAGAACCAGAATCTAAAAGGGCATGAAGAGCTAAAGTTGTGCTTTATTCAAGCTTTGTTTAAAACATGCAATCAGTTTAGAGGCAAAGAGACCTAAATCCCAACTTTAACTCTGATACTTTCCAATTGCCATCATAGGGTATTGAGCCTCAATTCTATCCACTTTTATATCTCTCTCACAAAATTGGGAAGTTTATTTAAAAATAAATTTACTTCTAGTTAATAAAGTTTTTGCTTGGTTATATAGGAAAAAACATTTTTAAAACGAATTAATTTATAATAAAATATACAAAGCACCTAGAAATATAATGTAACTATAAATGTGTCAAAACTACAAAAGTAACATTTTAATTATCAAAGAACACAAAAGCAAACTGAACAAAGAAAAATACATCTTCCTACAAAGACAACACCATAGTGACATAAATTCTGCCCAATTTATATATTCAATGCAATCTAAATTACATGTTAATAAGTTTTTAACCCAGACAAAATTATTCCAAAAATAACATACCAAAATAAACAAGAATGACCAGGAAAACTCTGAAGAATAGAGACTGGCCCTACCAAATTCTGAAACGCATTAAATCCTCAATAATGAAAGCATTATGCAATTAGCAAAAGAACACACAAGTAAAACAGAAAAGAAGCTCTGCCTTTGAGTATAGCCTTTATTAGGCAAAACTTCCTTTGGATAAAAAGGATAGCCTCTGAACGTAATAAAATCAACTATTTGAAAATATAATAAAATCAACTACCTGAAAATAGTTGATACCAAAAACAAAAATGGAAATCAAGCTTTGTGAGAGAGAAAACGTATTGGATGAGAACTGCGTTTGTGGCTTTGTACAACCAGTGGCACCCACAGTCTAAGCTAGGCAGGGTAATTAGACCCTAAGCAGAAAACTGTGTTTTACTGACCAGCAGAATCAGACAAGGGAATTGGAAGGGGGCTGGAAAAAGAACAGGAAAATCCTGTAAGGAAGGAGCAAAAGGGGGAAAAACATCAACATATATATATGTGTGAACTCTGCCCAAATCCTTGTTGACGCCTAAATTACACATGCAGGAGAGAAGGTGGGAGACTGCTGAGAACCACCACTTGGAAGTCCGAAAGAACTCAGCTGAGATTTAAACTGTTACTTACATCAGAGGCAAACAATCTGGGCAGTGAGGCCACCCAAAACTATCTACACTCTTCAGAGGAAGATAACAGAATTTAGAGTCTCTACAATGTTCTGTCCCCCAAAATCCACTAAAAACCCACAAACTACTAAACATGTGAAGAAATAGGAAAATGTTACCACTTAGTCAAAAGAGAAAAGAGCCAGCAGAAACAGACCCCCACCATGAACTATCAGACAAGGTTTTACAGTAACTATTATGAATATGTTCAAGGACTTAATGAAGAGATGGGAATCTCAGCTGAGTAATAGGATCTATAAAATGAATCAAATGGGAATTCCAGAACTAAAAATTACAAAATCAGAAATAAAGAATTACCCTGTTGGAAGAAAGAAGAGACAGTGACTTTAAAGATGGATCAATAGAAATTATCTAACTAAAAAAAAAACAAATTAAAAAGACTGTATACAAAAATAAACAGTCTCAGTAACTTGCAGTCCCAGAAAGAGGGGAAAGCAAGAACAGACCAGAAAAAATATTTAAAATAACAATAGCTGTAAGAGTTTACAAGTATGTTCACATTAGAGTCTCATGCAAAGTCCTGCAGTTATCATCCTATACAATAAAAGGCTAATATGCAAATTGACCAAACGGAGGAACGGCTGGTCGCTATGACGTGCACTCACCACCAGGGGGCAGACACACAAAACAGGAAGTTCCCCCTGGTGGTCAGAGCGCTCCTTCAGGGGGAGCACTGCCTAGCCAGAAGCCCTGAGCCAGGCTCACGGCTGGTGAGCGCAGTGGCAGTTTTGGGAGTTTCTCCTGCCTCTGCAGCAGTGCTAAGGATGTCCAACTGTCAGCTTAGGCCCACTCCCTGTGGGAGCTAAATTGGGTCTAAGTGGTCAGTCGGACAACCCCAAGGGGTTCCAGACTGTGAGAGGGTACAGGCCGGGCTGAGGGGAGTTTCTCGCCTCTGCAGCAGTGCTAAGGATGTCCAACTGTCAGCTTAGGCCCACTCCCTGTGGGAGCTAAATTGGGTCTAAGTGGTCAGTCGGACAACCCCAAGGGGTTCCAGACTGTGAGAGGGTATAGGCCGGGCTCTGGGACCTCCCTCCCCCCCGAGTGCACGAATTTTGTGCGCCGGGCCTCTATTTTTCCTATCTAATAGAAGATAACAGGATGAGGGATGCTAACTACCTTTGCCTGACCTTCAGCTGTGATATCTTTGTACTTGATTTTGGCAACATTCTGTGTTCAGATTTACATTAACCAAATTCACAC